TATAAATGTAAAATTAATATTATGTATAGTAATATAAATGTATAAATGTATTATATTATATATAATACATAATATAAATGTATATTATAAATATACATAAATATTTTTATATTATGTATAAATGTACATTTATATAAATGCATTAATATAATATATATTATATTATATATAATTTATATAACATATAATATTTATGTAAATATATTATAAATATATAAAAATATATTTTAAATAAAATAAAATATTTATAATATGTATGTATAAATATATAATATTAGAAATGTATAATATATATGATATACATTAATATTAATATAATTTATATATAATATACATAATTGAAATATACATATTAATATATATTATAAAACAAAATTGCATAAATATATTTATAAATTTATATATAAATAAATGTATTTATATAAATATATAATATTTATTTCAATTGATATAATATATATAATATTATACATAATTAAAATAAATATATTTATATTAATATAATATATATATAATATACATAATTGAAATATAAATATTAAAATACATAATTGAAATATACATATTAAAATATATAATTAAAATATACATATTAAAATATACAAATTGAAATATGCTTATTAAAATATACAATTTAAATATACATAATTGAAATATATTTGGAGTTATTTTTGATATATTGTTTGGATATGGTGTTTTTGAAATTGTTTTTGAAATACACATTTACTGTAGCATTTGGAATGTGAAAAACAGTTTTTCAAAAACAAGTGCAAAAATACTCAATCCAAACGGACGCTAGGAGTATTCGGAAAAAATTGAGTTACTGTACAAGAACATAGAGCTGAAAAAGAAATACGAAGGAATTCTGGAAGAGATACGAAGTAAGTTTGGGCTAGTGCCTTCATCTAGTCAAATGGCCTCTCAGGACATTCCTAATAATAAAGATGAAGGAGATAAAGGAAGTGCTCACAATAACAAAGGGAAACGCAAAGAGATGGATGGAAAAGGAGTTGCTATGAAGGATAAGGGGAGGAAGAGGAAAAAGAATGGACACTTTAAGAAGAAATGTGTGGCTGCTAAGTGTGAAACGTATAACAAAAGTCATACATGAATATGTTATGTGAAAATTGGTGCATGCTTTAGATGCGGCCAACTGGGACACCAAATGAGGAACTACCCAGAACAAATGAATTTTGGGATGGCGAATCTGCTGTAATAGTTAAAATCGGCAAGTAGTGATGTGTTAGCTGAAATAATTGTATTTATGGACCTATGTATATGCAACCTCTATATAGTGAGTATGTTTTGGATAAAAGTAGTAGATCTAGTACTTGATATTTTGATGACTAATATTAAATATTGGTGATTTGACAGTATTGAATCCTGATTCATAAATCTTTTATTATCTTTTAGTCTCGATGTTAAGTGAAATTTGCGTCTGTGGTTCGGAAGGGGGAAACTTTTGATGTCTTCACTGATTTTCTTAGCATGGCGTTTTAGTCATAGTATTATTGCGATTTCTCTCTAGATAGATTGTGATACGAGAAGAATTTCGAGGACGAAATTCTTTTAAGGGGGAGAGGGTGTGAGGACCCGTAAATTTTTCTTATTTATTTTATTTTCCGGCGTGCATTTTTCTTACTTTATTTTATTATCATAATTTTCCAGAGATTTTTATAAGTGAGTATAGTTTTTAAATCATTTTTCTAGTATAAGTTAATTCATGAGAAATTAGGAGTGTATATTGGACGTGGGACTCGCTAGTGCGCTAAGTGCGATAAATTTTTGACAATTAATTGAAGTTTGGTATTGATGTGTATTATTTTACAAGGTATTAGGAGACAATTAGAGATTAACTAGATAGTTTAACCATTGGAAGATAAGAGAATTAGATCAAACCCTTAAAGTGCCATGTGTCACGTTCCTATTCAAAGTTGGACTTGCCTAACTTTCTTACTTTTACTAAAACATCAATTTTGATCAAGCTTTCTCCATTTTATTTCCTCCCTTGGCCGAACCTTTGAGAGAAGAAAGGAAAGAAGACTTTATCTTGTAACTTCAAATTCTTGTCCCAATATTGAGCTTCAACCGATTAATTTGTAAATTCCTCCATAAAAGTGACTTGCTAAGGAAGTTTGAAGGTATTGGCAAGTTGTTTTGGAGGAGGAAACCCTAAGCTACTACCTTTCTTGAGGTGTCAAGGTATTTTGCTTGAAAACTCACTCTTTGTTCCTAATAATGGTAAATTAGTGACTTGTGGTGGCTAAATAGGTTGTTTTATGGAAGATTTTATGGATTAAAGTGAAGTTAGATAAATTTCTGATTTTTTTGGAGATTTTATGTTTTCATATGATGGGTATGATTGGCCTTGTATTGATAGCTCTAAATTGTGTTAAATGGAACTTTTGTGCGTTAATTGCGGTTAGTTGCGGAAAATTTCAATTTTGTGTGGAAATTTCAGGTTTAAGGTTTCAAATCTGCCCTGTTTTTCACTGCATGTTTATCCTTGAAGGAGGCCGAATCAGCCCTTGCCAAAAACATAAAAGTTGTTGGTAATTGAGTCAGCTAGCTACCTATAAAATTTGAGCTCAATCGGAGCATTGTAGCATATGAAATAACAAAAATACCCTTGACTGCCCATAAGTCTTGTTTCATAGACAGTTTTCTATCCTCACTAAAATTTCGATTTTTGGCCATGAAAATGCATGATTTGGTTTTGGAGGTCTTCATAAGAAATGTAGGTATATGTCTTGGTTTCGAAACGCCATAAGATTCGTTTCAATCCGATATGTGTAACTTCAGTTATGGTTATTGTGCCGAAAAGTGTGTTTTATAGTCTATGATTTGTATATGGTTCATTTGAGATGAATTGGTGTTGATTGTAAGATGGAAAAGTAAGGAAATGTAGGGGACATGCTGTCCAAATTTTGGGAATGTGGGATTTCTTCGAGTTTGGTTTGGTTTGGGATATATATAAGAAAGGCTTTTGGGGTTGTTCGAGCCCTAGGTCTTCATGTTACCGCCCTAGATCTTCATGTTACCTTTTCGTTTCCAAAATCATGTTTTGCACCCTTTCATTAGTAATTATTTGGCGAGGCATACGACTAGTAGTCGAATCTTACTTAGACATTCCGTTTACTCGATTTTGGATGTGGAACCTTTAATTGTTTTACTTTGGTTATTTTAGAGTTTCTTGGCGATTAAAACCACTCTGGCGTGAAAACTTTTGAAGTATATGTACTTGAATCAGTGAGTGTACCACTCCCTTGAATTATTGCTAAAATGGTTATCTGTACTTGCAAATTGCTATTTAAACGTCTTTATCGACTGTTTATTTTGTACGAGATGAGTGTGTACTTTATCACACTCGTTCTCTGGCCTGTGTGGCTTGTTTCCTGTATATACTGGAATATGTTACCTGCGCCTGTTATAATGTAGTTTGGAAGTGTATCCAACGACCTTCCTATTACATCTGAGTTCAATCTCATGGGGAGTTAATTGAATCGAGCCAGAAGGGCTTGGTCGAGAAAATTGACAATCCATGTGTACCTGTTCCTAGGAAATCTATGGGTATTGGAGATTCTAAATTTTCGGTATACTCGAGTATTACCATTCCTGTTCCTGTTTGGCGTACTGGCGCAGTAAGAGGTATGTTTGGTGATCGAGATTTTGGCATTAAAGTGGTGTTCTATTGGACTGGTTCCTTTATTTGAACGTTGACGGAGGGTCAACGAGGTTGGATCAAGTATTGCAACGGAGATTTGGCTCCTGAGAACTACCTGTATCCTTTACATTGTGGTGTTCATTCATTTCTCATATTTGATGTGAATATGTGCCTTAAAAGTGATTTCTCATGAGTTCTACTATTTCTACTGTTTATACTTTTGATACCTCATTGAGTTTTTAGCTCACCCCGTCCCGTTATTCTTGTTTTCCTTACAGGGAACCATCTTTTGGAACTTCGATATTTTGAAAAATGAGTGGAGCTAGTTAGAAATTCTTTTGTTCTTTTGGTATAACTCCTCGACAATTTGAAAACCCTAAATGTATCTTAATACAATGTTTCTTTTGGTTTGTAACCTTACTAATATGTATATATTAAAGTGTTTCCTTGGTTATGTGGCATATGTATTTGGGAATGTACATTTTCTCATGTTAAACAAAGTTTACTTGAACCGGGTTGGATTATGACGTGACAGCGGCACTTCCATTACGTTTTCATTTTTTGTGAGAACGTTGTACCAAAGATTTATTGTATCTTTTAGTTCGACTCAATTGGGATTTGAATATCTATCTTCTCGAAGTTCTTTTGAGCGTTGGGTAAGGTTTACGTTTGGTTCGGATCCGTAGTTCCGGCAAGAGTTGGGCAGGCGATCCGCCGAACCCTTTAGTTCGACTTAGAGTGAGGTGGGACTGTCACAGAGAATCACGGCCATTAGATTCGCATTCTTGAACTCCGACAACTGGTTGCTGAACCCACTATGAGGTGCGTACCAGAGGAACTTTTCTCCCCTAAATTCTTCTGAACTTGTGCATTGTGGAGGAACTGGGACTTGTTCGGAATTACCTGAAATTGAAAGCACGGATGGGGGAAGAAGGCGCTTGTACGTAATGAAAAGAAGAAGAGAGCAACAAAGAAGGACAAAAAGTGCGAAGGATTTTGATTTGGGATGCTGATTTTGATTCTCTCTTTTTGCTTCTGATGGGATTCAGCGGTTCCATATTTCGTCTTAGGAAGAATCAAAAGGTTTTGGATTGGTCGTTAGTTAGCTGTTCATAAATTCACATAAGTCGCAATGAAGTAGTACGACATTGGATCAAGAAAATTGGATCAGAAAAGAACTGTCAAGTTCTAAAATTATACTATAATTTTGGTTCCATTGTCCTTTTTAAGGTACTACCTTCTTTGTTCTGATGTTTTTTCCCATTTTTTCTATTTCCCTTGTTCGAGCTTTGTGGATTAGCCCATATTTTAAAAGCGACAAGTCAAGATTGAATCCATGTTGCGAGCTGCTGAGTTGCGGCACATTAAATTGAACACGGTTGCATATAATTCTGCGATTGGAAGTTACATGAATTTTGGGGACTTTGAAAAAGCAATAATGGTGTATGGGTCGATGAGGAAACACAATGTTAAACCCGATTCTGTCACTTACAATGTGTTGATAAGTGGTTGCTGTAAGATGTCAAAGTTCTCTAATGCACTTGAATTTCTCAATGAAATGTTGGACCTCAAAGTTCCATTATCACAAGAGGTGTATTCATCTGCTATATGTGCCTATAGTAAACAGGCAAGGACTATCGATTTGTGACTACTGTCCCTGTAATTAGATTCTTCCATACTTAAATCTCTCTCTCTCTCTCAGGGTCAACTTGCTGGAGCAGAATCAATGTTTTCCATGATGAAGATGGCTGGTTTTCATCCTGATGTTGTCACATATACTGCTATGCTACATGCATATAGTGTTGCTGGTAAAATCCTATGTCGGACTATTTCATATATGCTGGCTTAAAATTACTGATATTAAGAAGCTCAAACTGAATGTCTTGTGGAAATTCCGTATGCAGATGACTGGGAGAAAGCTTTTGCAATATTTCAAGAAATGGAATTGCCTGGTGTCCAGCAATTCAAGGAGTGGTTTTGTAAATGAAGCAAAGCTCCTCCCGGAACTGAGCCCAATAAAATTCTTTCCTTTGTTGGAATGCATATGGATGTTGTTACTGCCAACCCTTCTGACTGGGTAACAGATTTTGAACTTTTAGCATTTTTGAGTAATTTATTTGTAATCTGATTATACATTTTGGCATTTTTATTACATTCTGATGATTGGTTTTGTCTTGTGTTTGACTGGAACTGATCGTAAATTTGTTTTGTGTTGTGAGTTTGCCAGAATGAGGACAAAAGAAAATGGTATATGTTAATTGGGTTTTCTTACTTTAAGTTTGCAACTCTCTCTCTATTCTGAAAAAAAGATTGTTTTAATTGATGATGAAAGGGGTTTCTTTGATTGGAAGTTTAAATTTGATAGTGCAAGGTTTAAAGTTGGAGACTTTTTGTGTTTTTATACACTGGCAATATTTTTCTGAATCGTTTCATTGTTATTATGGTTAGATCTCGCTGTTGCATGTACAATGCTACAAACATATCCATTTTCCCCAGGAATTTGAACCTCGTATGGAAATTGTAGTTATGCAATGACAAGCCGTGGAACTTAGTTAATTTTTCGTAGATATTGAATGCATGCAAGTTTTATTTTACGGTAGCTGCTGATTTGTAGTCTAAGGATGTTCACTATAAGAAAATTAAATCTTGAGTGCTAAATTGGTACCTTAATGAAAATTTTTGGCTCTCTATATTGTTTTATGAGGCCCGTGCTATGATTTGGGGGAATGAGTTCATTAGCCTTACTAACTAATGGGTATCTCATTCTGTTGTTGCAAATATTGTATTCCATCGAAACAAAATTACGTCAGCTCGTAACTTATATTTAAAGCTATTTAAAGCTATTTAACCAGCTATTTCTTAATTCGAGGGCATGATTATGGAATTTAGCTAGAACCTGTCATTGTAATTATCTTTTTCCAAGGTTTCAAGGAAGTAAATAGAGGGGTTGGAAACAAACTAAGTTTGAGTTCTGCTCTTTGACCTGGGTATAAATTTTTGTCTCCTCAGTATTCGAGTGTTTTGTATTTAGAGTCTAAGACAATATCTATGCCTCAGAATTTTGATCCTTTTTCGCTGAGCATTGATGGGGATAAACTACGGGGACGCGGAACTACTGATTGCCTTGGGCATGTCGCTCTTGTAGCTGAACTTATGACGAAACTGGGAGAGACAAAGCCACAGCTGAAGTCCTCTGTTGTTGCTGTTTTTATAGCCAGTGAAGAGAATTCATCTATTCCTGGGGTTGGTGTGGATGCATTGGTTAAGGATGGATTGCTCGATAAGTTGAAACAGGGGCCTTTGTAAGGACATAAAAGTAGTATTTAAGTATGAGAATCTTTTATTGGTTAATTGGTTATGTTGAAATTGTTTGGCATTTGGTTAATGGTTTATGTGTTTGAAAACAGATTTTGGATAGATACAGCGGATAAACAGCCTTGCATTGGGACAGGTGGCATGATACCATGGAAACTCCATGTTACCGGAAAGCTTTTCCACAGTGGTTTGCCCCATAAGCTGCTTTTTGGCTTTCTGTTGTCTCATATCAGCTGCACTAATTCTTTGTGTAAAACTCACATATGCAGGAAAGAGATACTGTCACTTTCTTAGTTGTGTCACCATGCAGGCAGTTCATATTATGACAAAGATCAAGTAATTAAAGTAACCATTTTTCTGGAATGATGAAACTAAACTAAAAGAGAGGCATCAAAAAAAAATTTTAACTTTGCAAGCACAAAAAATACATTTAATATTATTTCCTCTTGAATTAAATTATTTATGCAGAAACAACTGCATTTGAAGTATTCTTAGTTCACGGATAAATCCTTGTTAGTGATCACAGTGCACCAAAAATAAATGGGATAGGGTTGGCTGTAGATGAATTAATGTTACGATAATTTAGCTGGACAATAACTTGGAGGGATTGAAGAGGAATACTGCTGCAAGTTCATGCACATTAAGAATGCTCCATTACTGGGAGGAACCTGTGAATGTGTTCCATTTAGTAGTTTTCTTTTTCTGTAGGCTATTAATCCCTTGGAGCTAGCAATGGAAGCACTCAAAGAGATCCAATTACGGTTCTATAAAGATTTCCCTCCTCATCCTAAGGAACAAGTTTATGGATTTGCAACACCATCAACAATGAAACCAACTCAATGGTCTTGTAAGTCTTGATCACATTGTGGAAGAACTCGGACAAGTGTGATATTTGACTTGCCATAAGCGGCCAATCCAATTCCATTTTTCTGAATAACCATTTTATATTGCAGATCCAGGAGGTGGAATTAACCAAATTCCAGCTGAATGTACAGTTTCAGGGGATGTTAGGTACATATTTCTTTATATATTCTTGTTTAGGATCTTGAACTTTTAAACCCTTCTAACAATGCCTCTTTACTTTTGCAGGTTGACTCCATTTTACAGGTGGAAAATTTTTCCTTTTTTCTCCTTAGTAAATTGTGGATGATTTAATTTATCAGATTATGATATTTCACAATTAATTCCTTTGCCCTCTTCATTTTTATGCTTTAGGCTTAAACTAATTATCTTCCTGTACTTAAGTCTGCTGTAGCTTTACCAGTTGAGTTTAGAAGGATATTCAGGTAAAAATTCAAAAGTTTGACAGTATATATTATTCACTCCTCAACAGTGTATCAGATGTGCTGAAGAAGTTACAGGAGTATGTAGAAGACATAAATGAAAATATTGAGAAGCTTGATACTAGGGGCCCTGTTTCAAAATATGTGCTACCAGATGAAAACCTAAGGGGAAGGTATGCCTTTGTCGACTGCTTTGTTTAGTAGGAGCATGCTGAGTGGTTGTTGCTTTCACTTTAAATTTGGTAGGAATGAAAAAGGGGATTGTAGTTTATCAAATTGAAAATCATTTATCCACTAATTCAAGAAAATTTTAATATACAGAGAAGAAGTATGCATAAGGTAATTACACATCCTAAGATTATAAACACTGCAAGAAACCATTATTAGGCCCAACAGTCAACAATGTAATGCGAAAGTTTTTTGTAAACTGACAGAAAAGTTAAAACTGTCCCTGGATACAATCTATGAATATGGGATAAATTCTACATTTTAGATCTTGAACTAAGACTTCTCTGTTGCAAATGGTTTTTCAACTCAAAGCCACATGCTTCATCTGGGACTAGGAGGGATCACAGAACCAAAGCTCCCTTGTTTTCTACAGTTTCTAATTCATATCTTTCCACTTTCCCAGAAGTTTAATTGAGTATGCTCTTTCAAAGTTCAAATAAACAGAAAAGAAAGTCCCACATCTTTCTTGCAAACTGGAAAGCATTTCATCGAAGGATATTTAGGTTTGGGCTTCCTGTCATAGACATGCTTCATCACGTTGGGGGTTTTCTTTTATCTTTTTCCTTGGGAGTTGGAATGGGCAGCACTGATGGCAAACAACATAAGGGAAAAAAATGCCCATGTCATGAGAACTTTTGTTTCCACATAGGGGATGGAACAGCTTTCCACTAATAAAGACATTCCTTGATCAAGTATTTATGTTGTGAATTGCATTGCACCCTGAGATTATAATTTCAAACATGGAAGTAGGGTGATGGTCTTATGGAATCAGTTTTCTTTGCATATCAGTACAGTACTCATTGTGTAACATTCAGTTTTACAATTTATTTACCCTCAGAATCACACTAAGTTTCAACGAGGCAAATTCTGGAGTTGCTTGCAATCTTGAATCCCCTGGTTTCCATGTCCTATGTAAAGCGACTGAACAGGCAGTGGGGCATGTAAAGCCCTATTCTATTACTGGTAGTTTGCCACTTATTAGAGAATTGCAGGTACAATGAATTTGCTTGTCATAAGACTCAAATCTTTTGGCATCCTTCTAACTTTGTTATTTGGCAGGATGAGGGCTTTGATGTCCAAACTGCAGGCTATGGTAAGATTCTTCCATATCCTACCACTTTTTTATTTAAATAATATAAGCTTATAGCTGTATGCTTCTGGTAGTATTTTGTGAAAAAGATGTTTTAGTCTGCACTAGGATTTTTCCTAGAGCTTGGTTGCTTGAATCCTTTCTTGAGCATGTTACTTGCCAGTTATACCATTCCTCTTATCTTAGAAGGAACTCGATGAAAGCATGTTAAGATTCTGTCTTCTTGATAATTATTTCTTCTATATGGCTAACACCTAACCTGGTTGACATCTTCTACACCCATTCTGATGCAAAAGATATATATGCTGCTGTCAATTTTGGCTACACCAAAACAGATGGATTAATGGATTTTGCTCTTTTCATAAACATGCAGGCTTGATGGCTACATACCATGCCAAGAATGAGTACTGCCTTCTAACTGACATGTGCCAGGGCTATCATGTGCCTTGTGCCCATGTCATGCTAATAATAACGAATAAAATTCATGACTTTTCATTATTGATGTGAATGTCAGATGATGGAATAGTGGTAAAGGTGAGGTTATTTTCTTTTAATGCGTAGGAAGTTCCACGAATGGTTGGTGGCTTGTTAAGACTATATTTTCTTGCATGTGGGATATTCTTTTGTATATTTTCTAGCATGTAGGATATTCTTTTGTGACTTGTGAGAAAGTCGTGGTAATTGTTATGTTTCATATGAATAGTTTCCATATTTTAGTTATTCCTATCTGACACATATGGCTCACTCATTGCCAAGTCTTGGAAATTTTTTGCACGGGAGCACCATTGATGGTAATAAATGGAAAAAAAAATGACAATAATAGGTGCAGAAATGGTATAATGGTAAGGTTTCTTACACAAATTGAAAAAACAATGAAAGAAAAGGATAGGGATGAAAGAATATAAAGGACTTTATGAACTTTGTGTTTCTATAGCCATTTGATATTCACACACAGATTATTGCTTCATTTTGAAACAGGTTGCAAAGGAGGGAATTCCACTGCCTCCAGATAGAATGTTATGCCCTTTGTGTTCACAAAAGCATGTAAATCCATCAGCTGTAGCTGTTTCAGGATTTGTCTTTTGTTATTCTTGCATATTTAAATAAGTCTCTTAGGTTTGTTTCTCCATACTTTTGTATTGATCATGGTAAAATTGCAGAACTACTGCCAAATATTGTTTCTAAGTGATGCTTTCTCTTATGTCGCATTTCAGGAAGCTTTATCATTTTTCTGTATAGTGTACGCTAAACTTAAACAGTAAATTGTACACTGTAGCCAGAAATTCAATTTTGCAACTAATTCTTTTGTTTAATCATACTAGCAGTTGCTTGTTACCCGAGTTCAGTTACATGAGATTTGCCATTTTCAGTTACAATTCGATATTGTTTTGAGTTGTTGATGGGCTGGGATGCTAGGCTATCTAGATCCATGTCTGTCTTTGTTGTTGTAAACTACTGCAGTATCTCTGATGAAAAATTATCTGAGTGTTCTCTCTTTTGGTAAAAATTTCTGTAGTAGGATATTTTGTCGTATATCATTTACTTTTAAGTTCCAATTCTTTTATGAACAGGACTGTTAGGTCCTTTTCCTTTTCTTCCTTTTTTGGTCGAATTAATGAATGGAAGATTGTAATCGCATGAATATTGTACATTGTGATATCTACTCAAGTTAATGCATTCTAAGGGCATTTGCCAATCTTTGGGCTGACCATCCTTTGCTGTTGTTGTATTCAATCAAAAAGGCATCGAAAAAATGTATCCATGGCATTTTAATTTTCATCTTCAGCTCAATTAGGCCATTATTAATCTGGTACATTTCAGTAATTGACAGGTGTCGAGCCTGTGCAATAATAAATACCTACTCGAGAAAAATGAATTTTCTGTGTATAGTAGTGAGTAGGGTCGAATCCACAGGGATTGGAAAAAATTCGATTCTTTTCACGTTCGGGACACGGGGGATTTTTATCAAATAAAACTAAAAATAAATAATTAAACAATTTAACTAAAAATAATTAAACAATTTAACCAAAGATAAATAATTAATTAATACAATTGTAAATAGCAATTAAATAAATGATAAATAAATTCTAGCCAAGGATACAACTACGCAGACACAGTCCATTCATCCGATCATTGATGCAAAGAAGGTTCACTTAATTTAATTAATAGGCTAGTTATAGTCGCCGATAAACTCTAACGACCAGTTTTTCCTTAATTTATTGATAACCAAGGTACGACCATTGATTACCCCTAACCAGGAAATACTCCTAGGTACGACCGTAGGAATTAATTTCCTAATTGCATTAAAAACTAGAAAAGCCTAATCCAAATTAATAACACGCTACGAGGGTTATTTAAATCAGATTGCATGTTCTCCTAGTATGTGAAAATACTAGTTGTCACTAATATTAACCAACTAAACAATTAAGGATTTAATTGATTAATTTGACAAGAGATTAATAAGTCAAATTGCACATCGGTCCCTTGATATCCAATTAACAAAATAATCCCATGGAAATTAAAATAGAAAACATGCAAATATTAACAAATTAAGGAACACGTAAAATTAATTAGATCTCACAGATATTTGGGACTGCGTCTTCGCGTTGATCCTTGACTAGAGGAGAAAATTAGCCACGCCTCATAAGAAAATTCCCACGCAATTTAATTGAACTCAAAGACATTTATCTCTTACTAATAATTAAAAATAAGAATTGTATTCTCTGTAGTCTAATACAATAAAAATAGTCTCATGGAAGAGACGGAAGAAAACAAGACACACGAGAAATCTTCACCCCCAAAACTAAAAACTTCTCTTCCCAGACAGAAGAGAAGAAGAAAAACTGATTCTGTAAAATGTCCGGCCCTCTCTCATTCTCCTCTGCACTAGTTTTATATGAGAACTAGTTACGTAGGAAGCAAATAGAAAAGCTACTTTCATCATCAAAGTCCACCTATGGCTAATGAGTACATCTCCCAAAAGAAGAACACATTTTCTAAATCAATGTTACGTGGTCCCTGCAGAATTCTCTCCTTTTGACTTCTTATTGCTAGTGGACTTGTCAGGACTTAATAATAGGAAGGCAACTCTTCATCAGCAATTCCGTTGGTTTGCACAATTTGGGCTGATTGTGGAAAGCTTTTAGAAGCTTTCACGTGTGGAGAGATCTTCTCAAGAAGGTTCCCTTTTAGCACTTTTCTGCTCCACTTTCTGAAATTATATCCAAATACCAAATATAAATATATATTGACAATTAAAGCAATATTTGGCAAGGATAAAGAGGAGAATTAACAATAAAATTACTAACAATTAACATCCTATCAATTCCCCCCACACTTAAATCATGCTTGTCCTCAAGCATGGGAACAACTAAATTCAACAATGGCTAACTCTCATTTCATTTACTGCCAAGCTATGCTTATCCCAAAATCAAGTTTTAGTGGCTAAGTGTCAAGACATATTTCTCCCGATTAGCTCCTGAAATCATAGACTCGTCCAATTCATGGCTAACTCGTCTAAGAAATTAAAATATTAAACTAGCAAAAGTTAGCAATTGGGTCAACTGAAAATCAAAATCTCAACATTGAAGAACAAGGATCGGCAGGCCAATATGATCATAAGTTTACACATTATTTTATTCTCTCTCTCTTTTTTTTTTTTTTAACAATTAATTTTTTTTTTTCAAAAATGCTCAGTCCCAAGCTATTCAAGTCTTTTGACGTGAACTCTGACATTTTTAGATGAAAGAGCCCAGTTACTCAACTTTTCACAGCTTCAGGACTAACTACTCATAGATATCGCCACTTTTTGACGCGAAAGTCGACACTTGTGGTGAAAACTCCCGGTTACTGGGTGACGGCACTAGCGGAGTAGAGTCATTTATTAATCACAATTAAAGTATCAGAATACCAGATAATTAAAGATCATGGCCCACGTCATCTCCTAATATGGAGAACTAAGATCAACAATTACCCAATCCACATAACAATTGCTAATAAAATATTTAAATTGCCTAAACAAGTTAACCACAATTTGCACCAAGTCATTAAACTCATGATATTCACCAAGATAACATGCGTTTACTTGCCATCTAAACAAAATTCATAGGATAAATCACAACCAGCAATAAACGAATGAATTGCCATATTTATTCATCAAAACACTAGTAAGAAAGGCAGTAAATTAAAGAAACACCAATCAAAACTAAACCCAAATCCCCCCCCACACTTAAATCACACATTGCCCTCAATGTGATAATGAAACAGTAAAAATAAGAAGAAGGACAACGAAACTCCCCTGAAACTGGTGCCAGCTATTAGCACCTGTAGTTGGAGGAGGCGGAGCGGAGGTCAAAGGGTCGGGATCGTGGTTTCACCATTCTTTCCAAATTGTACTAAATAAATAAAAATCAAGCAAAGTAAAAAGAAACAGGCAAAATAACACAGAAGTATCCAACTAAGGATGAATAGAAATGTCAGGTAGTCCAAACACGCAAAATTTTCAAAAACGTACTGTAATAAAAATAATAAAAACATACTGCAATAATAAAATAAAAAAATAAAAAAAAATAATAGAAAGAGATTGAGGCAGGCGCGTGCATACGAAGCCAGTGGTGCGATGAAGGTGGTGGCTGTGAGAGAGAAGAGTTTGCGGCAGCTGGATCTGGTGGTGCTTAGCGACTGCGGGTGGTGGGCGACGGGTTGGGGTAGCGCGCGCGAGGGAGCGGCGGGCTCCAGGTGGCGCGCGCGAGGGAGCGGCGGTGGCGTCGGTGGAGCAGGATTTAGGGAGGAGACCTGGGGTGGCGGCGGTGGGCGGCGGTGGGGTGAGGTTCGCAGCCGAAGAAGAAAGAAAAAGAAAGGGACAGCGGAAAGAGAAGAAAGAAAAGAAGAAGAAAGAAAGAAAGAAAAAGAAAAGAGAAAAAGAAAGGAAAAAAAATAGTTTTTGATCTTACAGTTTTTTTTTTTTTTTTTTAGTTCGTCAAACATGGCATGGGCACGCCAAGATTAGAAAACATTCTCTGACCTTGAAGTTGGAACTTGTAAGATTAATGCGTGCCCTCTCCGCGCGGGCACGCCATGATCACCTGTCCTGATCATAGTAGAGAAAATATCAAATTTAAGCAATACCCAGATGAGAAACGACATATTTAACGAATTGAACAACAAAAACCAACAAAATCAAAAATTGGGTTGCCTCCCAAAAGCGCCTTTCTTTAACGTCTTTGGCTAGACGGTGTCCAGAATTTGCTTAAACTAAGCAAATCGGGTCTTCCAGTTGCATCATCTCCACCCGTTCAATTGGAAATCCTTCATAATACGGCTTGAGACGGTGACCATTCACCACAAATTTCTTCTCCGTTTTCAAAATTTGGATCTCTACTGCACCATAATGAAAGACATTAGTCACAACAAAAGGGCCAATCCAACGAGAACGTAATTTACCTGGAAATAGTTTCAATTTG